TGACTGCAATGGCCTCAAAGATTGCTCTGTCGATGGGTTTGGTGTCAGACCAACTTGGTATGGAAATCTGTATTTTACTTTCCGACAGCTTTTCGGCCATTTGCTACGACGACGACGACGATGATGTCACCGGACGATTAAACCAAACAATCACTCCAAAATCTCAAATTTTTTGGAAATTTGGAGGAACATTGGTGTAATAGGGTGCGCAATCTCTGGTTGTACTTCATCATCGGTGATGACTACACCGATGGAAGGAGGTTGGAGGAGGGGAGACGCAGCTTCGCCTTTCAACCCATGTTTCGACAATTCGTATTTGGAGTGGATGCTGCACGCGTCACTCTCCGTGTCAACTGATAGGAATCAGTCACCGAGACTGCCATGGACAACGAACAATGACAGAATACAAAAAAGTGCATTCATCTGTGCCAATTTTCCTTCTGTTTGCAGGTCTTGTCACCGCCCTGTCAAGAGACATTGTCCAACCTCACTTAACCAGCGTCTGCTACATTCGTACCTTTTTTTTTTTAAATTCTTCTTTTTTGAGTGCACAAAGCACAGTTATTCGGAGAGGCACCTTAAAAGTTGTGCCTGGCAGAAGGAAACGCGCAGTCAGGTGGGACACAGCGTCCGGTGCTTCATCGCGTGAACTCTTCACGCGCTCTCAAGTGTACAACTGATCTTGATTGTTCATTCAATGGCTCAAAAATTTATATTTTAAGCATTACAACTTGTGATCTCTCAGTGTGCATTCCACAACAATGGCGGTCAACGCCGAACTGAACGAGGAGTCGCTTTTTGCACATAACTAGTAAGTTTAGTTAGTGTGTTGCACGGTTTTTTTCCCTTTTGTTGTGCTGCCTATGCATAAAATTGCCTTTCCACCAATCACATTCGTGCATTTTGAAAGGCGATTGACAACTGGTTGCTTTGACACGACTTGTGTAAGTATTGAGACGAGAAAATGTGGTTTCCCCTCTCCTCCCTCTCACCATCCCTCCGCATTGCATTCCTTGCATAGAACGATATTTTGACGAGACTAACACACCCGTCAATCAATTTGTTTGTTGTCGTCCAGTTTACGCGAGCGTCACGGTTGTCCACCCCTCGAGTACGATGAGGAATTGGCCAAGTCATCGCAAGCCTTTGCAAACAAGTTGGCCAACTCCTCGAGACTGCACTACTACTACCCCACGGAGTATGGAGAAAATGTTGCCTATCGAGTACGGAGTCGAGATGCCAACTTAACAGGCAGGTTGTCAGTCTTTCACTTTGTTGCTCTTGTCAATCACCTTAAAGTTGTGTCGATTTGAAGACACCTTTGCCATAATTGTAAGGATGAAGGAGAACATTGTTGGGCAAATGGTGGAGAGAGCACGGCGGTGGTGAAACTGTCAAGTGTGACCTCTTAAATTTGATAAGTGATGAAGGATCGGTTGTGTTCTT